TTACACTTGGTATACAGAGGTGATTAGCTCGTGTGAGTGGAAGTTCTGTACTTTAAGTGGGGGGAGAATTAGGAACTAGACAGCACTGAACTAGATCAAAATGATGTGCAGCAGAAACGCTTAGCTGATTAAATTATCAATTTGAAAGTTGATAAAAAGTGAATTCGGGGAATCGTGTCGAACCTGAAAACCTGATCAGTGGAACGTTAATAGCCGTTTGTGTAAGCAAACTCGGTGATAAGGGGCAGGGGGAGGGGGAAATTGATTCGAATTATGACGGACGACTTTGAGATACTTGCTGAAGTTTTCAAGGCTCACAGAGTGTGACAAATTCATGAATGAATGGTCGAAACGCTCAAAAAGTGAGCTTTGGGTTAATTTATAATTTACTTTATGTCTTCTTTTAGTCGATCATCAACTGTAGATTTCTTGTCGAGGGTGGAATTTTCACGTTACATAACGTTGCACAAGTTGAACTAAAATCAAGAAATGAATTTCTCTTGGCATTTTTGGAATAACCAGAGGTCGACAGAGACAAGAAGGCATGGGGGAGAACGGGGCTGGGAAGGGAACCGAACGTTACTGGAAAGAAACCCAGTGGGAGAAGGAACTAAGAAACCGCGGTAGCGGACACTTTTTGGACATCATGTTTTTTCTTCGATTAAATTTTATACCGGGGAACCCAGTAACTTTTTTAAAAGTAGGACCGGCCTTCTGTGACTCGCCGCCCAACTCTCCCATTCTGTGAGTTGCGTGACCGAACCCCGGCTGCTACCTGGGAACAGGCTCCGCCCCTCCTTTTGTCCCCTCTCCCCGAAAACTGTGAAGAGAGTCGATAAGTCCTAATATTCTTGTTTTTATTTATGGCGTTCACAATTGTACCCTTGGAATTTTATTACTTACCCAAACCTGAACTTCGAGGTAATTTCGACTACATTATTCTGCTAGCATCGGATTAGACATTCCACCGACCGTCCCATAAAGTTATTTTGCTCCCCGCCCCCTGCAGACAAACTATCGATTTCTTCTGACACCAAACAGATCAGTTGCGGAAAGAAGGCGCATTTGGTGCGTGGAAGATTCCCGGGAAAATTCTGAGAAAACCAATTCAGAGAAAGTACAGTTTGCAAGCTTTTGTCCGATAGCTAATTAAGGTAAGGTTTCAAGTAATCAATACTTTGTTTTGTGCACAAAGGTTGATTTGGCTCACCTTTGTGAACTGTGCTACTGTTCCTTCGGCTGCGTTGTTTTGGATTGTCGATCAAAATGGATAGACTCGGAGATTTAAACGAGGGTTTAAACTGACGCTTGCTTTTAGTGGAAAACTCATTTATGTTCAAGATCGTCTTACAAGAAGTGTTGTCTCAATTGGTCGTCAGCAAAGCACATACTTTGTCAACCGAAATTCAGCTCAGCGTGGAGGTCGAACACGTGTGAAACCGGAAAAAAAAAAAAACTGAAATCGATTAGTAACAGTGAAGTGGATAATTTAAAAGCCAGGGGATTGAACCAGGGTTTACAATAAAAAATATGAAAAACAGGAAATCTATGGAAGCTTGATTACCAAGTAACATTGATTACCCCTCTTTCAAAACATAAATTTTCAATCTCATTAATTTATTAATTATTAATCATAAGCAACAAATTAAGGAGCAGCTTACAACCAGGACAATAGTTACTTTGTTGGCCATTGTCTGGCATTGATTTTAAGTCTGGGCAAGAAGTCACACAGGTCCATAAAATATCTGAGACTTGATGTTGCAGCTATTTTAGCATAGCTATATGATTTCCCTACCAATGACGTTATTTTATTGAGTGAATACTATGTTTAACTATAAGACAAATATCAAAGTCTGACTTGCAATCTTATATCCTGAACAAGCCTGTAGATACCATGAGTCAAGCACCTTATCCACCTGGTGGATATTCTTATGGACCTGGACAAGGATATCAGTCAGGTAAATAATTACATAGTTACTCAGTCTGGTAATTACCCAATTACCAGTGAACAATTATGGGATTGCTTGTCTGCTTAGGGTTAGTTGGAGTTTTTTGTGAAAAGTATTTTACTGAGGTAGATATTATTAAACATCTATATTTTAGTGATGTTAAAACCTATATATTTTGTATCATTTGCAGGTCAACCTCCAGTTGGTTTTGCTCCATATGCACAACAAGGGTATGGACAACCACCCCCTCAGCAGCAGGGTTATGGACCCCCACCCCCTCAGCAACAAGGATATGGGTCCTTGGCTATAAGTGGTAAGCGATTAATTATTAAGTAAATCATAATTATTTTGTTATTTAATATCTCATCATTAATATTATGCATGGCTGCTGTTAATTTAATAAACCTAAATGTTACCATGGTTAAACAGTTTTATACATGTGAAAAGTGAACTGATCAACATGACACGAGCATAGGACAAAGAAAAAATCTGAGTTCCTGATAGGAATTGAACCCATGACCTCCCGAACACCCAGCAGGCACTCTATCCACTGAGCTACAAGAACTCATGCAGAGCAAGGTCATTTAACTGAGTCAATCAATCACCTCTAATCATCTTATGGTAGAACTCTCTCTTGTAGTACACAGATTCTGAGAAGCCAGATGAGATGTATGCTAACTACCGGAAGTCAATTCTTGCCAGCGTACCCAATAATTTGCTAATACGCATTTACATTATACATTTCTGCAGCACTGTCAATATGGTTTCAGTCAGCTGTCAGCTCACTCTGCCATGTCCTTCACACCCGCAACAATCTTCTTGCTTTTTGGTGAATTATTATATCTGTTCAGCAATCAGGGCAAGTTCACCCATTATCTTAAGTTTTTAAACCATTGTTTGCTTTAATTTACTTCAGG